CTGTCCCCCCAGCGAGAGCGAATTGAGGCTCTGACACCTCAGGAAATTGGGGTGAGTGGGGAACCACCCCTGCTGTGACTGCTCCCAATGGTGATGGAGGTCTGGAGGGATCCATCTGGAGCACAGGGATTTGGGGTTCAGCCCTTCTGAGCATAGAAAAGCTCAGAGATGTGCCCACAGGCACTGACAAACCCCGGGCAGGTCTCAAGTGGGGAGACTGAGGCACAACCCCTGCCGGCTGACAGGGCAGGTGACAACCAGCGGTGGTGTCCCCACGGGTCAGGTTGTATTTAGGCACGGTAATAGGGTTGGGGGAGTCATGTGGATGTGACCGTGCTGGGTGCACCCCTGAGGGTGAGCCAGGGGTGTCTGGCACCCACCAGGGTCAGGCACTGCTGTGCTTTTTGGGGGGGCACCTCCCTGCACCCCTCCCTCCCTGGCCACCACCGTGGACACATGGCGGAAAGGCAAAGGTCACTCTCGTGGGGTGGCTTTGCAGCACCTGGAGCTGGGATGGAGCATTCAGGAGACCCCAGTGGGTTTGTCACATGGCCTCTCCCCAAACCCTGGCTGCTGTCACCAGCCAGCCCCGGGAGGGGAGCCGGGGACCAGCTCCGGGTCATGTGCCGGGTCTGCACCTCCCACCACGTGGGGACACCTCGGCGGGACCTCCCAGCTCCAAAGGTCACCGTGGCGGCCGGGACGCAGCCCCCGCTCCGGCTTCCCGCACTGCTCATGGGATGTGCGGCTCTGGGCTCGTCACAGCGCTGTCCCCACGGGGGTGGCACCTCAGCCCCTGCCTCTGAGCCCCCTCGATGTCCCCTGCCTGGGCCCTCTGTGTCTCAGGAGTGACCCCTACGTGTCCCCTGTGTGTGCCATGGCTCCCGTGTTCCATCTCCTGAATGTCCCCGTTCAGGTCCTCTCTGTGTCCCCTGTGACTCCCGTGTCCCCTGCGTGCCTGTGCCATCTTGTGTCCCACGTGCCTCCTGTGCCTTTTCCCCTACTTTGACCCCTGTGCGTCCCAGTGTCCCTGGTGTGCATTCTGTATGTCCTGTCTGTGTCCTGTGTCTCCCACATGTCCCACATGTACTCTGTGTCCCACGCATGTCCCCTGTATGTCCTCATGTCCCACGCATGTCCCCGTGTGTCCCCCATGTGTTTCCTGTGTGCCCTCCACATCCCACGCGTGCCCCTGATATGTCCTATGCATGTCCCAAGTGTGTCCCCACATCCCGTGTCCTTTCCTTAAGGTCCCTGTATGTGTCCCATGTATGTCCCCACATGTGCCCCAAACGTGTCCTGCACGTCTCCCTTGTGTGTCCTTGCACCCTGTGAGCCCCCGTATGTCCCCCCACGTGTACACCCGACATGTCTCGCGTGTTTCCCCTGTGCGTCCCCACGTCCCATACACGGCCCCAGGGTATCCCCTGAGTGTCCGCTGTGTGTCCCCACATCCCCTGTCTGCCACCAGCGTCCCCCATGTGTGTCCCCGGTGTGCCCTGCACGTGTCCCTTGTGTCCCCTGCACCTCCCACGCGTGCCCGTGATGCGTCCCGCGTGTCCCCTGTGCGTCCCCACATCCCACGCGTTCCACCTTGTGTGTCCCGTGCGTGTCCCCTGCGTGTCCCCCC